AGCAGCTAGAGGGTTGAAATTTTGCACTATTAATAAGGTTTGTTCGATGTCGCTCCACGATTTCTCTAGCCCCCTTAAAAATGGCCCTCCTGAATAAGTTTAAAGAGACATAAATGGGTCAAATATCCCTCAAACGCGATAACAACAGTCAGTTTTTTGCAACCAGAAATTATATTGCATTGTGTGGTAGACATCGGACCATAATTGACCCTACCCCTACACAAGTTCCCATTCAGAAAATTACTTTAACGCTCATAACTGACAACAACATTAGGGTGAAATTCATCGCAAACTAGTTTTATAAGAACAAAAATCTTTCTACCAAATTTTATAAAAATCGCTTCATAATTGACCCTACTCCTCATATATGTAGGTCCCCTTCAGAAATAACTTTAACGCTCATAACAGGAAATCCAACACACACAAGTTTTACAAGAACAATATAACTCAATACCAAATTTTATAAGGATCGGTTCAATTAACCCTACCCACTATATAAGGTCTTCTTTAAAAAATTACTTCTTCCATATTTCCCTTTGAAATTTTCAATAAAAATTAATTATTTTAAGAAATTGGTAACTCTTTTTAAGTCAATAGAGATCGATCCATAATTGAAGATCTTTCTACCAAATATAATAAAAATCGGTTTATAATTGACCCTATTCCTCATATAGATAGGTCCCCTTCAGAAATAAATTTAACGCCCATAACAGGCGTAATTATAGCAAATTTTATAAGGATCGGTTCAATTGGCTCTACCCACAATATAAGGTCTTCTGCAAAAAATGACTTCCTCCATATTTCTTTTGGTAATTTTCGATAAAAATTATTAATTTTAAGAAATTGGTAACACATTTTAATTCTATAGAGCTCGATCCATTATTGAACCCAACTGAAATTAAAGGCCCTATTCCGAAAATCTTTCTGATATTAATATTAATTTCGTTTAATAAAATTCAGCATATATCAAATAAATGAGAAGACCTTCCGAAATTCACTTTAATTTTAAGACACATAATTTGATGCGGTGTATATAAGATTCGTCATAGGCGAATATAAAACTGTTACTTGTTCTTTGTTGATTATAACTAAAGCTATGTATACACGGTTGTTAGATCTTACAACGTTGGCAGTAAAATGTGCAGAAAATGTCTAACAACAGTGTCAACTTACAAATTTTGTCTGGCAACATTGTCAGTAATGCTTTTTCTGACAACGTTGCAAAAGAAAAATTGTAAGTTCAACCGATTGTTAGACAACGTTGTAAGATCTGACAACCGTGTATCACAGCATTAACAACGTTAGAAGAGCTTGAGGCCAACATTGAATTTTTGAAATTTCGACCAAATTGCATGCTCGAAACATGAAAATTGGGTGGTTTTCCTTAAACAATACCATCGATTTTTTTAAGTTCACATAAACACATACATTTTGTCGATCTTTTACGCTTTTTATTCCACTGTGCAAATTATAAAAAAACAAAAATATACGTTAAGAGCGTGCTACAAGTATTTTGCTTTATCTCCAGCTGTTTACGCTCACTTTATATAACTAATAACAACAACAACAAAAAGACAATGGCTTGTCGTCGCTCATTGGAATATGTGACTGCTTTGGCTGCAATTGCAATGGCTCTTGCTCTAATTGCATTCGCAATATCGGTCACAAACCTAAATCGTAATAATCGTGAAAGAAAAGAAAACAATAATAATGATGCTAATACAACTAACCGACCACAAGTTACAAATAACTCTGAAACACAATTACTAATTGGAACGACCACAAATAATAATTTAATAAACTCAACTTTAAAATCAACTGATATTTTAAGCTCAACAACAACTGCCACTAGTACTTCCACAACTACAACTGCTGCATCTACGTTGTCATCGTCAACTTCAACCGAGAAAAATGTTCATATTGCTTTGCCAACTCTTAAATCGGTGGTAACAGCAGTGACATCAAATAATATTATACCGGTTGATGACGTTATTGAAGTTGATGACGCTGTTGCTGTTATTGATAATAAATATGGTGAATTTTCCACCACAACAATAACTTCCGCAATTGATCCTTCAACAATAGAGGTAAATTTTACAAGATAACAATATGGAAAAGAATGCATTCGTTGAAAACAATAATGCAGTTACATGATTGTAGTTTTTAATTCAAAAACAGATAATGATAGCGATATACATATAAAACAAAAGAAAATTCTCTGAGAGAAAAAATATTATTTTTATTAATTCATTCTCTTAAGTACCTGCCTTCATACAACTTGTAGCAAATTTTTAGCATCCATTAGGCACGTATGCATAATTTATATGTTTACAAATTGAAATTTATCATTTTACAAAAAAAGTAACGGTTATTATTTAAATGTTTAGTGAAATAAAAATGAAATAAACCACATTATGTGTGACCACTTTTCCTCAACGAATAACACAGATTTTCCCAAAGAAAGTAAAAAATAATTGTAAAGTTATATAAGTGAAATGAGTAAATGAATGAATGACCATAGTAGGAAAATACAATATAATTCATCAGACGTTTGCGTTTGTTGGTCATATTAGTTTTTATGCAAAAAAAAAAAATAAACTCTCTTACTTTATTATATTATTTTACCATTTTTTAATGTTGGCCAATGGCCATTGACTCGAATTATAGATAATTGTGAATGAAGATGAAAAACTATATGGTATTGTGATCATTTAATAGTTAATACACACAAAACTATTGTTATTTGGTTTTAAGCATCATCATCATTATTAGATGGCTGTGCAAAACTATTTGTGAATGGTTGAGTTTTGCAAAATAAATGGCGCAAAATTGGTTAATTAAATACATGTGGGTATTACGCAGTATATTTTGAGGTTTATGCATAAAAAAGTGGTAAATACTTTTTTATTTTCTTATAAAGAAAATGGGAGCGAAAGGAGTATTTTGTTTAAATTCTTCAAAGGAAGCTTGTTTTAAAAAAAGGAGTCTTAGAACGAGTGCTAACAGAACCACTTCAATTTCTTAAACAAAAACTTATGAACTAGTGATTTCGACATTACTGCTGAAAGCCGTTCCTTGGAACATTGTTGTGCTTCTAAAATACTTCTCTAGAACTTGTTTTAAAAAAAGTAGTCTTAGAACGATTGCTAACAGAACCACTTCAGTTTCTTAAACAAAAACTTAGGAACTAGTGATTTCGCCATTACTTCTGGAACCCGTTCCTTGGAACATTGTTGTGCTTCTAAAATACTTCTCAAGATTTTTCAAGGAAATAGTTCTTTGACACAAGTTAAACATTGCTATTACATCATTATTTCATGAAACGTATACTAGTTCCGAAACAACTTATTGGAACCAAATGAAAAAATTCCAAAAAATAAAAATTAATAAACAGATGGACATTATGTTACTAGGAATACCTCTCAAATGATTAGTATTAATGTAATAAATACGAGAAAAATCAAAAATATATATATATTTTTTTTTGTAGTAGACCTCAGTTCCCTACCAGCGATTAAAAATCTTGATCTCAGTACAATATGTTCAATGCGATCTGTTCGAACTGGGCCTAAAAATATTTGTAATTTGAGGTCATCGCGAGAAAAATAATTAAACATTTTGTTAGAGTACTATATACCTGGTGCGCAAAACGTTAATGCACATCGATTGAGAGTTTTCTACGTACGATTCGTAAAAAGGCTGTTCCTTGGCACCCTTTAATGGTCATTTCCAAGTCTAAACCAATAAACACACTCTAACTTTCGCACTTTTAAAGATAATTTAACAAAATTTAATATAATCTCTTCTATTATAATAATGATGAAGTTTGTTGAAAATTCTTGAAATCGGTCCATTATTTCACTTAGGTCCCATACTACTCTATCAATAAATAACGCTTTAAAGTTCACAATTTTGTTAATTATACCGGTATATATATGACCCTTAACAGTAGCTACTGCCGTTTTTCGTAATTTTGACCCTAGCTCCCAAACAAAGTAATTTTTCTGCAAATTTCTTAAAAGGCCATAACTCACATATAAACACTAGTATTATGTTTAAATTAGGCTAAAGTATGTTTTTTATAAACTTAAATTCCAAAAGAAAATTTAATATTGATCGGTCCATATTTAACCCTATAATAAATTGCTTGAGTATATACATATGTATATCGGTCGACCATGCCCGACTGCACTTTCTTACTTCTTTTTTATTTGTTTAAGTTCCCACATACATATCAAGTGACCCAATGCAAAAACGAAATTTGCACCAAGGAAACGAAATTTGCACCAGAACTGCCGGAATTAGAGGAGGTCAAAGTTGGACATTTTGGTCATACAGTGTTTTATTCAAATGCGTATAACTTTTCACCTATTAGTCCTAGCAAAAATTGTAGAAAGGAGTTCAGATAGCTATTTCATCAATGTTTCGAACATGGTTAAAATTAAAGTTAGAAATAAGTATAAAAAATTTTTAGTCAAAATTAGAACCACTTTAAAGAGATATCAGTTAAAAAGAATGATAAACTAAAGATTACGACGTCAAGCGAACATAATTAAAACTTTCTGCGCATATAGGAGCTCTGACGTTAACAACATTTAAAATAAGTCTCATTAAAAAAAAGTAATATTATAGAATTAAAGAAAATCACATCTCTTACATAATTTTTATGTAAACAACAAAAGATACATTTTAAAATACATATGAATAAACTATTAAACTAATTAAAAACAAAATTAAAATTAGCATAAACCTATAAACAAAAGTATTTAACCAGACATGACGAAACCACAAATATGTTAAAAATTAACATAGTAACTTTATGAAATCATAATAAAAAAGTCAGAAAATAAACTAAACTTGTTTCAGATTTTCTTTAAAAAACACGTGTATAAAAATTTTTAATAATAACTAAGCAATAAATTAGTTATTAATTAATAATAAATATTTTTAGACTTACCAAATTATAAATACAGTTTGTTAATTTTTCGATTTCTCTACAGGAAACTACAGCATGGAAAACACTGACATCACATCCAAATTCACTGGTACAATTATTACCATCACGTGCAATGCGTGTGGTGCAAGAAGTTGTAAGGTCATTTCGTGTAAGTATTTTTTCTAGATCTGCATAAAAAACAAATAAAATAATGAAAAATCTAAACACTTAGTAATAAAAAAAATAAAACAAAAATCTTTATACATAAATTAGCACCATAAATTGATTAATACCAATAATAGTTATTACTGGTACACAAACAATAAAAGTAGTAATAATAACAAAGCCAAATATGTATTCTGCAACAAGCCATAACCAAACTAAACATGCATTCTAAGCAGCCAGCAAGTGTCCTTCAAATAAGCACAAGAAACGACCAACACTTTATAAAGCAAAAAAACTAACAGTGTTATTATTATTCGGTTAAGCAGAATCTAATATACCCACTATAAAAAATTTCAGAGAATTTCGGAAGGCGGTCCTACATATGGATGCAATTTTTGTTTGGTATTGAAAATAATCAAAATCAGTTAAAGTTTTCACCTAGCCTTCTTCAGAAAATACCTTTAACACCCATAATTGGATTTAAAATACAACTACCGATGAATATCGATATGAACAAGTATTATAGAAACTTAAATTTCTATCAAAATTTTATGAAGATCGGTTCATCGGTCCCCATCCCACCATATAAGGTTCAATTCAGAAAATTACTTGAACGCTCATAACTTGCTTCAAAATTCCTGTATATCAACGAAATTCGACAAAAATAAGTTTTATTGAATGGGCCAATATAGCGATATACAAGATGCTAGTATAGCGATTTTAATTTTCTCAAAGTATTTAGAGAGCTGATGATATGTTTTTGGTCATGTAGATCCACTAAGGAGGGTTTTCTTAAGTATCTTACCTAATATTAGTGATACAAGAAAAATTTTAAATGTACCTATATCTACTCTTCAAATAAGCAGATCGGGGTCTGGTACTTTTTTGAAATTCGTACTTTTAAGGTGTGAAAATGTGTAACAAATGTTAATTTGGTACCTTTTTTGGCCCTTTATAACTTTTTAACTAATAAACAAAATAACATTTTTGTAAATATTTTGAATATATCTCCCAAAATTATGAGACACCCGTTTCGTACTTTTTTAAAATTCAGTCCTTTTGGGGGTATTTATGGTACTATATTTTAGCACATTAAGAAAACCTTTTCGATTTATTGAAGTATTCCTATTAAATTACGGTCTAACTCTGTAATATTTGTTGAAACAAAATTTTTGCAATTTCACTACGGAAAAAAGTACCAAAAAGGAGAAATTTAATTTTATTCAAACTCATTGAGAAAATTTTTATAAAATTTTAAAAAGTAGTTTATTTCCTCTCTCAAAATAAGCTTTTTGGAATTCGAATACTAAGGCCTATATAGGAACAAATTCGAGTAAATTGTTTGGTACTTTTGGAAAGCACAATTTTTCTGGAACAAATGAATGCAGATTTGAATCGTTTGAGTTTTATCTGTGATATATAGATTTAAATACGGAACATTTTGTAAACTTAATTCTCGAAAAAGTATAAGGAAAAAATTTTACTCTTTTTATTAGTACTTTCCACTAATGTAGAATTTATTCCACTTTTGGTACTTTTTTCTTTCTTCAAATGATACACATTGTATGTTCTACAATATGAATTCAATACACATGATTATTAAACATACACCGTCCTTATTGAATAACATTCAATTAGTACCTTTTATCTCATAAATGGTACTTTTTGAATTTTCTACAATATTCAACCTAGGAACATAAATTTTAACATACATGGTCTTGACTGAATAATATTCTGTAAATGGGAACTCTTTGGTACTTTTCCATTCTTCAAATGGTACTTATTGGATTCTCTATAATGGTTAACCGGAACACATGACACACGGTCCTTATTAAATGAGAATTTATTGAGAGAGATTTTTGTACTTTTTCGTTTTTTCCTTCGTGAATGAGAATCTACTGAAAGGGACTTATGGTACTTTTTCATTAATCAAATTATATTTTTTGAATTGTATATCATATTGAACACAGAAACATAAAATTGTTGATTAAATGAGAATCTATTAGAGGTATTTTATAGTACTTTTTTTCAAATAGTACTTTCGAAATTTTCTATAATGTGGAAGCTTAACGAATGAAACTAAAAATACAAGCTTCTTACTGAAATTTATTCACGTGATGTTGAAAGTAAAAAACTGAAACATTAAACAAAATTTTAATAAATTTTAATTTTCTATAAAAGTAAACAAAATTGTGTATGTATTTCATTTTGGTTAGGGTAGCGAAACACTCAGGGTATGCTAGTAATGACATATATAACTTTTTAAAATTTTATAGAGCGTAGTCCATGACGCAAAGGAAAATCAATTACACTAGCTATTTATATATAATAAAATTTAAAATATGTAAATCTGATAAATGAGTAAATTATGGTAACAAAAAACAAAAGAATCGATTCTTACACATGTACATAGTGTAGAGGTTGGTTCGGAAACTGATTGGAAATTTATGACACATGGCATAACCGATTTTATAACAACAGAATAAACAGTTATGGATTTCTAAATTTTTAATCAATTTAATTACTAAGTAATAATTTCCCTTTCGGTCAGAATGGAATTCTGCGAAAGGTCCCAATATTTCGATGTGTTACAAACGAAATGATAAAATCAATATAACTCGCATATTTATTGATGGTGGACATAAAAACTAACTAAACTAAAATTTCCACTTTGATGTTGAATAAAAATTTAAAATTGGTTGGGAAAACAAGTAATTTCTTGGCAACATTTTTAAAATATTAAACATTAAAGAGCAACAAAGATATTGAATACAGATTATTTAATACTAGATTTTGTTTTAATAAAAAATAATTGAAAATATTTTTTCCTTAAACCAAAATTTAAACCCCAACAGCAATTAGACGATGGTGATGACGATGACCATAAAGCGTAAAATTTTAACAAAAAAAAAAAAATTGAGCATTCATGTTACAAACTTGCAGAGAAGTCCAAACAATATTAAAAATATTTGAAAAAGAAAAAAATTAAAACGAAACAAGTTCATTAAGATGACCATGTTCATGTATTTTTTTTATGATTAGAAAATAAAATTTTACCATAAACGTTTGATAACGTCTATAAGTAAAATGCTTTTTTTCGCCAAATATCAATTGTTAAAGTTTTTCTATGATGATGGTGACACCTGTCACTGAAAACAGCCACTACCATACAACTGCATGGTATTCTGTGTCAATGCCTTTATGAATAGTAGTCCGTCCGTCAGACCATGCTGGTGTTTAGTTTTACGATCTTAGTAGTGCTTGAGTACATACTTATTTATCTAACAAATTTAGTTAAGTATAATAAATGATTGTTTTTTTTTTTTGTGTAAGAGTATCGAACAGATGAGATCGTCGTCGACCGTAGACACAAGTAGTATTATTATGTATTTTAGATATTTAACCGTAAGCTTTTAATTTTAAAATACTGGTAGTGATACTGAACTGTTACTGGTTGCTGATATTCGTTTTCGTATACACTTAAACTTGCTCACTAACTATTATTAATGATTGAAGTTCAATACAGTTTTGTTGCACTTAAGCAAAAAATATATTAAAAATAATAAAATAAAACTGGTCAGAAAATTTGGAAAACCTGTCAGATTATGGATTGCATAAGTTTTAAGAGATTGTTGCCTAAGATTACTTACATATGTTTTATTTATAATTGCATACTAATTTGGCCTAATTTGAGATAAGACATTATAAGGGAAGATGCATTTTGAATTGTGGGAGAAGATGTTGATGATTTATTAAAAAAAAAAAAAATAAGAGAATTAAATGATCCTCTTTATTTGAAAACTTTAACGTATACATGATCGAGTGAAATTTATCGCAAGTTTTCTCTTTATGGTGACGACACTCGATATCGAACAAGAAATCCAAAACTTTTTATATTAATTACGATATAAGAATGCGTTATCGAAGCGAACGCATTTTATGTTTATAGGTTCAATAATTCAGAAAATGAAAAAAGACCAATTAAAAGAAGAAAAAGTACCAATGCTGCATGTTTAATTTTGCATTTCTAGGTTCAAATATTTTTATGATTCAAAAAGTACCAGTTAAAGAACAAAAAGTACCAAAAAATTCACTATTATAGATTTTCATTTTATGTTTTAGGTTCAATAATTCAGAAAATCAAAGAAGTAAGAAATTACAGTGGCCTATGTCGTCAGCCCTACACCAGTTATGAAAATAAAGTGTGATTTATCATAATAAAGCATTTATGTTGAATTGTATATTGCCTTCGATATATTTAAGTAATCGATAGATGAAAAACTAATATTCTCTATATGTGGGGGTTGGGGGAAAATATAGAACGATTTCACAAAATTTTGCTGATGGATGTACGTTTACATAAAATGGTTTTATGCTGAATTTCTTCTCGACATTAGTCTTTTAAGGCGAATTTTGGTCATTTAAGTGCTTTTCTGATGGGGGGCTTTGTATGAGGGCAAGGATCAAATGAGGCCCGATTATTTCTAAATTCGACGCGCCGAATTTTGAAATTATATTTTATACTAATCAATTATATTTTATACTAATAGTTGTGCCCCTTTTTCTCGAGATACGAGTATATTAAACATAACTAAGTGCTAAAAAGCTCAAATCGGATGGTCCGGAGGCTAGGAGGCTAGGTGAAATAATGGACTGATTTTAACCAATTAGTAGGGTTCGCCCTTGGGCCAAAAGTATTAAGCATACCAAATTTTATTGAACTATCTTTAAAATGGCGACCTGTATTTAGATTACAAGGCACAGACGGACGGACGGACGGAAATTGCTTAATCGACCTAGAAAACAATTCTAATCCTATTGGTATACTTTATAAATATTCAATCAGTATGCTACGTTTCTAGGTTCAATATTATAATAAAAAGTAACAGTTAATGAACAAAAACTACCAAAAAATTCCCTCTTATAGATTTTCAATACATCAGAATCCTAATATACTTGATGGTAGGTTTCTAGATTAACTATTGTAGAAACACCAAAAAGAACGAAAAAGTACCAAAAATCTTTTTCTACAAATATCAATTCACTCGGGATTCTGAATGTTTAATTTTATGTTTCTATGTTCAATATTATAGAATATTTAAAAAATACCTTGTGAAGAACGAAATAGTACCAAAATCTCCCCTCTTATAGGTTCTTATTAATTCCGGTTCCAGTTTCTCTCGGACTTTTACCCATATCTCCGTTATTTATAAATCTATTTTTCTGACTTTAAATAGCGAAAATGTCGAAAGCATGCCTAATAGAATTATTGAAGATTCGAATCTCGCAGATATCTGATGTCTTCCGAAAACTGATTTCTAGATACACATGGACTGCCGGGACTATAAACTGGTGATGTCACTTTACTCCTCGGCTAGTCCTTGGTATGATTTGTCATGGGGTCTAACCAGAGAACCACATAATCTGGTACTACGGGTAGCCAGTTACCCGCAGGCCTTGCCAAACCTTATATCTAGAGTGAGTCTGTCGTATGTTGTTGGGTTGAATGGTGATGAATGAAAGGTATCTTATACAAGTGATACGATTGAATTTTCCTTCCTTGTCCAGGTATGTTCAGAGTATACTCTGTGCATACCAGATTTACCACAGTGTGTCACTGTGTGTAAGAACAAAGTCTCGGATTATTTTATGGATGCGTACTTCGGCCTACCGGTTACGTTTCTAGGTGCTGTTTCCGTCCCAACAGAGGCCATCCCATCTGCGTGGTTGTAAAGGGAAGTTAAGCAACGGGGCAGCAATGGTCAGAGGTTGGATAGCTCAAGTACTTGAGCAAAGTGCACGTATACTGGACTGGAACTTCCATATTCGGGCGGTGGTGAGTCGCCAATAAAACTCACCCAGTGGTTGAAAAAGACCACCGTGAAATAAGGCCTTCAAGTCAGGTGTTCACGTAAAGCACTTCGACATTCATACACACGGGCAGACAGACGGACAAGACTTAATCGTCTCCACTATCTAAAGGGACTCGGAAAATTATATTACAGAGATTACAAACAGAATGACAAACTTATGTATACCCTTCTCACAAAGGTGAAGGGTATAAAAACAAGAAATTTTAGTTTGAACGAAAACCATATATGTAGTATGTTTGTTTGTTTGCCCTCCAAAAACCAAATTTCGGCAAGTTTTCATTTCTAGTTTATATTTTTGCAAAAAAAAAAAAAAAAACATTTCATGTTGATGGATATTTAACACTTTATAAAATATTAGAATCTACAATAAATTTTATTTCAAAGATATATGGTTATCAAAAAGACCACTCCTTAGCGACCTTCAAGCAACAGGTGAATAAAAACATTTGTTTCATGTGGACATAATTGCGCTAAGAAGTAAAACTAACAAATAAATAACACATATAAATCAAAAACCTACTAAATAATTTAAAATATCATTTATTTTGGAATGTGTTTTTTTGGCAAAGATATTCTAACAAGATGCTAAACAATTTTAGAACTTTTGCTAACTATTAAATATTTTAACCAAATAACCGTGTCAAGGTGTTTGCAAAACAACAATAAAACTGAAAATATTTAATATTTTTGGCAAATAACAGCAAACTACTAACAAATTGTATTAGAGTGCATTATTAACAATTTAACATACATTTCTACATTTACAGAAAGATGCCCAGGTGGTGGTGACAACATCGGCGGGTAAAGTAAGGGGACGTTTTCAAAAGTATCGTTCTGGTGAACGTGGTGGCTATTATAGCTTTAAAGGCATTCGTTATGGACAAGCACCAGTGGGCGATAGAAGGTTGATAAATTAATTTAATTTTGTAAAACTAGTTTTTTTTATATAAATTTGTTATTTCAGATTCCGTGCTGCAGAACCAGAAAAAAGTTGGTCTGGCATAAGAGATGCCTCAAGAGAGGGCAATAGTTGTCCCCATAAAAATATGATTTTAGATACTTTCAAAGGCAATGAAGATTGTTTGTTTATAAATGTCTTTACCGCCAAATTGCCTAAGGGAGAATAGTAAGTTTTGTTGATTTTTTTTTTTTTGGCAAAATTGAACAGTTTCAAATAATGTTAAAATGTATGTTTCAGTAACCCACAGTTCCCCGTAATGGTTTGGCTACATGGTGGTGGTTATTCTTTTGGTTCTGGAAACACCTTTTTATATGGTCCCGATTATTTAGTAGCAGAAAATGTTGTATTGGTGACTTTGAATTACAGATTGGGACCTTTGGGTTTTTTGACGGCAGGTCCTGATGCTCCTGGTAATCAGGGTTTAAAAGATCAAATTTTAGCCTTAAAATGGGTGCGAGATAATATAGCCGCCTTTGGTGGAGATCCTAATCAAGTTACTGTTTTTGGTGAATCGGCTGGTGCTTCTTCGGTACAAATGTTATTATTATCACCTTTAGCTAAAGGACTATTTCAACGCGCTATTTCCGAAAGTGGCTCGGCTTTAAATCCTTGGGCTATGGGTGAAAATTCAGTGGCCAGAGCTTCTAGATTAGCAGCAAATTTAGGTTATGTTGGTGCTAATAATACACAAGAGATTTTGGAATTCCTAAGAAGAGCTCCTGCCATGAAACTAGTGGAGGCAGCACCTACAACTCTAACCGAAGAAGATTTTAGAAATAATATTGGTTTACCCTTCGTTCCTGTCGTTGAGGGTTATTGGAATAAGGAGGGAGAGAAAAATGTCTACTATGAAGCACCATTTATAACAGAATCCCCACAAGACTCGTATAAAAAACAGAAATTCCATAAAAATATACCGTATTTGACGGGCTATAATACACATGAGGCCATGTTGTTTATAAGACGTAAGTTGGAAATTTTACAGAAAAACTTAAAAAAAAAAATTATTTTAAAGTGAAAAGTTTAATAAAACATCAATTTAATGTTTTTTTTATTTAGGTTTACGTAAAAATCCCCAACTATTGCAAATTATAGAAAATGATTTTGAACGTTTGGTTCCCCACGATCTCAATGTTACAGACCAAAGATCCCGTGTCAGTCGTGATATACGTCAGTTCTATTTAGGCTCAAAACATGTTGGAATTGAGTCGGTTGATGAAATGATAGCGGTAAGTGATTTTAAAGAAAGTGATAATTCGAAGTGGACTTTTATAATCAATGAATCATTGTTAACTGTTGCACTTTAACAATTAAAAACAATTTAATTAAAAATTAAATTAAGAAACTATATTGAAAATTGAATAAAATTTTCAAATTTTTAAGTTCGAAATTATAAAATGTATGAGGTCTTATGATTTGAAGATTATTCTAACTCGAACATAACGAATTTTTTTAAAAACAAGTAAGAATTTATAGTCGGGCAAGACCGACCATATGATACCCTACACCAGTGATTATGTTACAAATTTTGATTATTTTTTTAATAATAAATTATTTAATTTCATGTTTAACTTAATTCAGAAATATTTTAACAATTTGTTGATAAAAAAGGGGTTTTTCTAAAATAGGGGTTATGTGGGGCAGTTGGGGGTTATATGGTCCTATCCTTATAAATTTTGGTAGAGGGATCTACGCCTACATCAGTTATTTATGCAGAATATCATCGTGATATTAGTTTTTATAAGAGAACTTTTACCATCATAGGATAGTGACAAATGAGGCCCGATCATTAAGAAAATCAGCAGAATCATTAAGACTTATATAAAACTAAGTTTTGCCCATTTTTGGAGTGATACAAGAACATTTAATATATTTATGAGCTCAAAAGATCTATTCGGGGGGTACGGATGTATGGGGGCTATACAAAATAATGAACCGATTTTAACTTTTTCAATAGGCTTCGTCTTTGGGTCAAAAGAAGAGGTTGTGCCAAATTTCATCTAATTATCTTGAAAATTGCGGCTTGTAGTGTGCGCACAAGGTTTACATGGACACACAGACGGACATAGCTAAATCGACTCAAAAAGTGATTCTGAGCCGATTAAAATACTTTAAGGTTGATGTATGACCAATATTTATCAGCACAAACGCATAATACCCTCCCCACTATAATGGTGTAGGGTATAAATATTAATTTATAATTCTGTTTCGCCAATAAAAATCTTCCCAATGCTGTCTTTACGAATTTTCTAAACTTTTTTCCTTTTATGAATTTTTTACTATAATTTCAATTTCGTATTTCTTTCAGTTACTTACCGATTTAATGTTCCTGCAAGGTATTAGACGTACAGCCAGACAACATGCAAAATATAGCAATGCTCCCGTCTATATGTATCGCTTTTCATTCGATGGTGCTTTGGGATTATATAAACGAATGTTAGGCCTTCAACGGCCGGGTGTATGTCACGGCGATGAAATGGGTTATTTATTCAAATTTGGTTTCTTTAATTTAAGTCTGGATCCAAAATCCATGGAAGTACTAGTCAAAAATCGTATGGTGCGAATGTGGACAAATTTCGCTAAATATGGGTAAAATAAGAAAAAATTACAACTTTTTATATAAAAACTGATTATAATAAATATTGTTTATATTTTAGCAATCCCACCCCACCACATATAGAGGATAATTTACTTACCACCACTTGGCAGCCTATAAATCCCAATGATGTTATGCAAAATTTAAATTATATGGATATAACAACAAATCTTGAAATGAAAACAAATCCGGAAACTGAACGGCAACAATTTTGGGATTATATGTATGAGCATTACAATGGTAATGCCATGTAGTTTAAAAAGTCCATATACATAAATATACATATAGTACATAAAACCATAAATACATACACATAACTTGAGTACATTTTTGTTAAACATAATACATTTTGAATAAAAAAAATGAAACCGACAACACCATCATTACATTCTACTTTCACAAAAACATACACACACTAAATATTTAAAACAAACGCTTTTTAGAACAATTTTACTGTTTAGCAACAAAAAACTATTATTAACAATTTGTTATAATTCTTAATAGTTTTTGTTACTAAATTCAGCCAATAATTACCCTAAAAATTTCCTTTTCTCTTCTAAATCATTTGCCATTTTTTTATGAAAAACAAAATAATAAAACATTTAACAGTGGGTGTTTGTTTTTTAACATTTCACAAAATAATTTTAGTTTAGTTTTAGTTTTTAACATAATTATTTTTTATATTTACATAATATGTTATTTTTTTATTTAAGTTCTTCTTTGAATATAAAAAAAGCATTTAATAAGTTATTGTTATTGTAATCATTGTAAATAGTCAAAGAAAAAATATGTATACAAAATATTACAAATTGTTTTTCTCATATGTCCACATATTTGTTTAAATTATTTCCAAATAATCTGTTGTTTAATATAAACCTTTTTTTATACATGTAATAAAATTGAAAATTAAACAAAATTAATTATGTTGTAAGTTACTTTTTAGCATTTGCTAAAGTTGGCAGTTGTGAGGAGTGATAGAGATACATTTGTAATAAAAATATAGTATCGTCTAATGTTAGTTCTGCTTTTGATAAAGTTTTAATACGTGTCTTAACTTTATCGAGTATTTCACGTTCTGGTGGTGTTAAAGTTTCAAGTATCTACAAAAAATACATTATAAATATTTTATTTTAAATAATAGAAATATTTCCATACTGCTTACCTCTGCTATATATTCCTCCGATTCTCCTCTTTCTTTCATGGTGGCCACAATACTGTCTAATTTTTGAGATTTTTCTATTAAACGTTTATGCTCATTTTTCTCATAATTTGAACGAGTTATATCATTGTACAAAGCCTTATAACAAATATCCAATAACATTTTGCTGATCTATGGAAAATATATTAAGAAATATACCAAAATGTATCACAAAAAATTGTTTAAAAATATTTGAGTTTACCTGTTTGTGTTTCAAATAAAATAAATAAAACGCCTTTGCCGGACCACTACCACCACCGCCTGCTTTACGTATAGTTTTGATTTGCAAAAATTGCTCCTGAAATAGATTATATGATAATAATTTAGCTTCCTTGGCTGGTATCATGGCTTCTTTTTGCAAATCTTCCTGTTCAATATATTTTTTCACACGAACTACACGAAATATCCGTGAAGCCTTTGAACCAAATCTTTCGGTTATAACATTTTCAACGCATGCCAACGCTAAGTTTTCAAATGCCAATGACATATCGACCACATATTGCCCACCACCCATTTCACCTATTTTACGTATGAAACCAAGGGAGTCATCAGCTGAAAGAGAAATTTAACATTGTGATTTAAGAAGTTATGTTTAAAAAGGATTTTATACCTATAGATGCCACATATTGTTCCAAATGTCGAACTAAATCCAAATTGCTGGAATTTTTCTCAGCATATTGTTTGACTTCAACAACAGTAAAAGGATTCGAATATTGCTAAAAAATAAGAAATATATTATTTTATTTAAACATGCTAAAATCTCCTTAATATTTAGATAAATAAGCCTCGAAAAAGATCTCGTTTTATGTCTAACAAAAAATATATTTTTTCGTAAAAAAACACAATCCAAAATCCTTAATAGGAATTTAATAGTGAATGGACTCATAATTTTGAAAAAAATCTATGAAAAAATTAATAAAAACAAAATCCTTATTAACTAAATAAAATTTCTACATACGAAAATGGGTAACGATCCTGCAATCACTCATATTTTAGACCAAAACCGATCATGATCTGTGGTCATAATTTTTCTTACTAAAAAATCTAGAATTTTTAATAACCCTTCCAATCGTATGTGATCACTGCAAGGTTATGTAGATATGAGGCAGTCGACATCACGTCTCGATCCACCCATGAGACATTACATGTCCATGTTCAGTGTGGAGTCAAACTAGGCTGAGGCACGAACAAAAGATAAAATACTATTTTCATCAGTTCTGAATGCAACGTCGGATTACCAAAGGTAACAATCCTTATCATGAAGTCGTTGTATAGAAGGTTAAGTCTTCTAGCATGCGCACCTATTTTACAGTACCCCGTCAGTAAGGGAGACGTAGCCAAACACTTAAAAGCCTCAACAAGCTGTGAGACTTTCTACCATCATAGAGTGGACAGGTCTGTCTATAAGTTGAGCAAGTTGTCAGGGATGCCCATTTAATATGAGCAGTCCAAACATCATGCTGTTCGCCATCTCGCCAAAAGACGACCAACATTCGCGAACCAGTCTGGATGAGTCAGTTAAAGATTTGATAGTAGGCTTGTTGCTTGAAGCTCATACATTTATTAAATAAGGAAATGTAGAAGCCATCTACCACACCCCTTGCTGACTTACATACATCTGCTAAATAAAATAAGTCATTCGTTTTCGATACTGTGACGCTCTTATCAGGAAGGAGGATGGGAAAGCATTAGTTAATGTTACTAGGTATATAGGTCGCATTACCCAGGATAGAAACATGTTCAGACCCGTTAAAATTTAGGGCAAGTTGATGGCCATAATATTAGCGGGTAGCCAGTGCATGAGTTCAAAGTGGAAGAAATTCGCTTATAACTCATATTGTGATAAAGAAGGTCGATCTATGATCATGAATAGTTTTATAAATCTAAAAACTTACTCTTTGCCAAGGATCAGTTCTTTCATACATTTGTTTTAATATGTATCGGAAACACTCTGCAGCACTAGCTCCCAGTTTTCGTTCAATTGCTCCTATCATGATGGCATCACGAAAGTCTTGATGAAAACGGCTAAAATTGATTTGCCAATAAAAGTCTGAAATGAAGAAATATATTCTTAAAATAGCTAATAATCCAAACTTTAAATGCCTATAGGTATTAGGTATCATTATAATGATACATTTTTCAGAATAGCGACAACTTACGTGAATCTTTTGCTTGAGTCGCCGGTATAGCACCGGACTGTATTTTCAATAATGTTGGTATATCAATATCCGGTGGAAAGAACAAGTCATAAGGTTCAATATTAAACTTTGGTACTGGATCGGGTTCACCTTCAGTCGGCACTAACATTGGCAGTTTAATCAAATAGTTGTCCTTAATCATCGTAACAAATGTATCACGTATGGTTTCCAACTTTTCATTGATCTCATTGTTAGAAATACATTTTAAAATGACATTAGAAGCGGTTTGAGATCCACTATGTAGCAGTTCCTCAGCGATAGCAGCTCCAACGGAACCATATTTAGTTTGTATTAGATGAACATATCTAAAATATGATATACATATATTTAACTAAATATTTATTACTTAGACATGACAATAATATATATTACCTGGAATATCTGAGTATATACAAAATTTCATCACGTTTCAAAGAATATTCGGCCACAAAGGGATTTGACTCACTGGGTTGAAATTTTATTAACTGATACTTTATCAAAATACCCAAAGCTGTTGAAACCTTGTAAATTAAAAATTTAGTTTTAGTTTTAATCAATTATTTTAATATTGTTTTCGTTGTTTACTTCTCTTCTAGTTAAATTGGAAGTTTTCACCAGGTTATTCAGTGTCCTGGCATTTGCACCAAATAAACAATCACCCACTATTTGCACTGTTTCACCAAAACATTGTTTCAATATCACTGAACATAAATTACCATAATCTATAGACATTTTTTGCTTAATTTTGTTTGTAATTAATAGATTTGTTTTGAAAATGTACAATAAAATATAAACAAAAAGTGCACGTTCAAAAATAAATACACTTTGGCACGTTCTCTGGTTTTGTAGAGTAGCCAGATTATGTTTGTTCTAAATTATACTAAACAGCTGTTAAAGTGGCAACTTCTAATTTAGCCAAGGGAATTTATTATAGAGTTACCAATTGCAGTACATTTTTAAATTTATTTAAATAGAATACACTGCATAATCGACTTTATAATGTGTCGTAATTACAAGAAATAATTTTCATGGTATGATTTTGGTAATACAGTACTCAAAATAGTACTAAATATAGTTTAGTATTAATTAACGGTAATACAGTGTTCGTCACCATAACTTTAGGATGAAAAAGAAGAAGCATACTTATAGGGTCGCAAATCCAATTACTTTAAAAAAGTTGACAACAGCAATCATGGTGAGTAAATTTTGTATTCACCAAGTTTTTCTAATTTACCACGTTTTCTATTATTGTGTAAACTATTGGATATATTGTAACGAAATTTAACACTGTCTATATCTGATTCGACTTTAATATTTTAAATCTTATTTAAAAAATAATTTTGTAGGATATATAGTTTTTTAATTGTTGTTAAAACTGTGCTAACAGATGGTCTTAAAAATGACACGAAATCTGGAAATACTGATGTGATGGATAAGAGGTAGAAAAGTATAATTTTGTCGCTGGGTTTCGACTTTTTTTAAATTTTGTTGGCCTGTTTTTTTTATTAAAATCCTACATTCTTCTTTTAATTGACCAAATAGACAATTTTTATTTATATACTTTATATACTTTGTAACTGCCCAACTTTGGGGACTCAAAAAGCGAAGATTTTTGGGTCATACTAGACACAACTTCTCAGCGATTAAGCCAGTTATCTTTACGCTTAAACTTGGCCTTGTATTATAAACCAGTGGTTTGAACAAGTTATCTATAATAGGCTCGAAGTACATTGTATCGCTAATGTCTAATCGAAGGCATTAAAAGTCATCAACACCGGTCAATATTTAAAACAGATACAAAAAAGTGAAACAGCTGTTTTCATCTTACTAACATTTTTATATTTTGCATAAAAAGCTTCAAATAATCGAATTATGCACTTTTACAACATTTTAAACAGGGAGAACGATTTCAAAAATGCATTCAAAAAGTGCATTTCCATAAATAGTGCACTATCTTAAACTTTTTAATATAATAATTATATTAGAATGAAAGAGCTCATACACAGTAATAGATTGGGTTCTAACAAAATCCGATATGAACTCTCAAAGATATAAAGGTTCAAAGTTTTACACCTTTTTGATTTTTTTGTAGTTTTCGAACAAATTAAAATCGCCATAAAAATCGCGTTTCTTGAAATTTTTGAAAATAAACAACGGAGTTGTTTTATTTTCTACTTCAAGAAGATATATTGATAATATGAAGGAAATTGGAAGACATGAGGTCAAAAATTGTCGGTTTTTCTGTGTTCTTTCCTGGAATTCATGATATAACTTATTTATTAAATAAACAAATTAATAAATTGAAAAACTGTAAACATTAAAAAAAAACTTTTTTATTAGAATAAAATTTAAATAAAATAAATTTTATTTATATGAAACATATAAAACTGTCAGCTGTTTTATTTCAAAGGTCGACTTTTTAGTAACTATAGAAATTAGGGTTCTATAAATCGACTTTCGAATAATCGAACAATCGACTTTTTGTCGAAAAAAGTAGAAAAGTCGAAGTCGACTATTTTGTTCCAAAAAAGTC